CCGGGCAGAAGAGAAACAAAAGAAATCAGCTGCGTTTATAACAAAGGAGATTTTGATTAGATATTAGGCAAAATTTTTCTAGTGTTCAGAGGCTGAAACAAAGGTGGCCATGGGATTCCCTTCTGCCACCTCTGTATGAACGGATGACTCGGATGCTTATGAGGAATGGTTTAGGTACGCTCGATCCTGCCTTGGTGTACAGGAGCAGACTTCCCTTGTCCCTTCCAAAAGCAGTCATTTTATTCTCTCCCTCCCAGACCACTTTCATGTTAGGAGTTTAAAGCTCTTGACCAGCTTAGCAAGCCCTCTCCTTGCAAAACTGAATTTCTGTTTCCGAGTTCATGGAGGAACACTTGTCCTTCAGCAATTTTCCAAGCTCCCTGAAGTCATCTATAATCTGGGACAGTAACGTCAGGATTGATGGGCAAAAATCTATCAATGCGGGTATCTGATACTGAAGGTGGGCCTTGTGCCTGCTGCCTGAGAAGATACAGCCACAACCTCATCTGCTTGTCCTTTTTCACAAGACCCTTTTCTTTTGTCTTGATTCATAGGGTATTCCATCTTCCTTGGGAGAAATATGAAGGTACTTATTTTCTTGCAAAGCAGGCTGAGCACCTCTCCGTGAACATGTTATGTTCTTTCTTCTTCTTGGCTAGCTGAATCCTCAAACACATACCCACAGACTCCAAGCCTCCCATCTGCTGCACCTCTCTGCCTTCCAAGTCTTTCACCAGGCAACAGTTTTAATGTAAGAAACCTTACTTAGCAAAGTATTACAGCCACTACTGCATCTTTAGCTCAAAATTTGGTTTTATACCAGCATCTAGGGTGCCTTTCCAGGTGCTATATGGTGCTTCGAGATGCCCACCTGGGACCTACGGGCCACCCAGACCCTTCTGGAGCAGCAGCTGGAGGGCCAGGCTGAAGGCAGCAGGGCAGCTCGAAGGGCATCTGGAGCCCAGGAGCAGGCAAGCAAACGCAGCCCACGCTAAGACACAACACAGGCAGCAAGTACGCATTGTCTCTGCTTACTTCTACCAGGTTTTGTTTGACAAGTGTCATGACAAGGACTTTGTCTTCATAAGTATTTGTATAGCACCTAATGCAGAATCCCCAATCTCAGCCAAGGTCTGAGAGCTCCTTAAGTCCACTATTATGTACGAATACCAAAGTGAATGACAAAAATTGAGACTTGAAACTGTGATTAATTAGCCAATTTAAGCTGGAATAATCAAGGTATGTCAAGAGGTCATACCAAACAGTTTTTAAGAATTTGCAGATTTTAAGTTATTTAACTGAATACATCAGCTTATTCAGCGTTTGATAATAGAATCACAGAATAGCTGAGGTTTGCAAAGACCTCTGGGGACCAAACCCTCTGCTCAAGCAGGGTCACCAGGAGTAGGCTGGCCAGGTCCATGTCCATCTCCGAGGATGGAGACTCCACAACCTCTCTGGGCAACCTGTGCCAGTGCTTGGTCACCTGCACAGTGAAAGGTGTTTTTCTTAGGGCAAGTGAAACTTCTTGTCTCTCAGTTTGTGCCCATTGCCTCCTTTCGGTATATACAGGGGGGTTATAAAACAGATGGAGAGAGACTTTTTACCAGGGCCCGTAGTGACAGGACAAGGGGCAATGGTTTAAACTGAAAGATGGCAGGTTTAGACTGGACATAAGGAAGAAATGTTTTACAATGAGGGAGGTGAGACTGGCACAGGTTGCCCAGAGAGGTGGTTGATGCCCCATCCCTGGAAGTTTTCAAGGCCAGGCTGGACGGGGCTTTGAGCAACCTGGTCTAGTGGAAGGTGTCCCTGCCCATGGCAGGGGGGTTGGAACTAGATGGTCTTTAAGGTCCCTTCCAACCCAAACCATTCTGTGATTCTAAGACCAGCTTCAGGAATCCCAGGCCCCTGAGACATGGGGGAAAATCTGGAACAAGGAAGACCCACCCTCGCTGGATGGAGGATCAGGTTAGGGAACATTTAAACAAATTAGACATACACAAGTCCGTGGGACCTAATGGGTTGCACCCAGGAGTGCTGAGGGAGCTGGCCAACGTCATTGTGAGGCCACTCTTGATTATCTTTGAAAGGTCATGGTGATCAGGAGAGGTTCTTCAGGCCTGGAAGAAAGCAAATGTCACTCCTCCCTTCAAAAAAGGCAAGGAGGAGGAATGACAGGGCCAGCTCCACCTTGATCCCTGGGAAGGTGATGGAGCAACTATTCCTGGAAACCACTTCTAGACAAGGACAAGGAGGTGTTTGGGAAGTAGTCAGCTTGGATTTATGAAAAAGAAAGCATGCTTAACCAACGCAGTAGTCTTCCGTGATAAGATGACTGGCCCAGTGGATGAGTGGAGAGCAGTGGATGTTGTTTATCTTGACCAGTGAAGGGCCATGAAGACCATTAAGGGACTAGAGTATCTGACATACAAGAGGAGGCTGAGAGAGCTGGGACTGTTCAGCCTGGAGAAGAGAAGGCTTGGGGGGATCTTACCCATGTGTTTAAGTACCTGCTAGAAGACAGCAGAGAAGAGAGAGCCAGGCTCTTCTCAGCGGTGCCCAGTGACAGAATGAGAGGAAATGGGCACAAATTGAAATACAAGAAATTCCATTTAACATAGGAAATCACCTTTTTACTGTCAGGGTGGTCAAGCACCAGTACAGTTTGCCCAGGGAGGCTACAGAGTCTCAAACCTTGGAGACAGTCAAACCCCAACTGGACATGGTCCTGGGCAACCTGCTCCTGCTGACCCTGCTTTGAGCAGGGGTTGGACTAGGCAGTCTGCAGAGGTCCCTGCCAACCTCAGCCATTCTGTGGTTCTCCAATAAGCCTCACTAATGTTGAGATAAACGACATCCACTGGTCTCTCTCTGCAAATAGTAGGTTACCACTCTTAATGGATAAACTACCTTTGATTTCCACGCCATTAGCCCAACTTACAACCTAAGTGGCCGATTACCTTCACAGCTTTCAGTGTGACACAGCCTTCTGGTGCTGCTTAAGGACAAGCTTGAGCCTAGGCTAGAAATGCAGCAGGAATGCCATTCAAGATTATAGCTCATTTTAGCTGATCTCATCGGCTGTTAACTCAACCGCTCTACAGCAGCAAGGTCTGCGGTACGAAACGCGACCAGAGTATGGCACAAGTAGGGGTTAGTCTAGCCCAATTTAGAGTGCCCATGACAAAGCCATACGAGGTGACACTCAGGTGCAGGTGTCTGTCTGTGTTTGGGGGTCACATCCCACATTTCTCAGTGCCAAGACATTCCACGATTCTCTCCAAGACACTTCCAGAACTTTAGGAAGTTCAGGCAGGCAGGAAATGACAATCAACAAGATGACCGCATGCCTTGCTGCAAAATATACACATCTCAGACAATTCAAGACAAGCAGAGAATTGAAACTACGTTTCCTTAAAAAAATACAGCCAATACTGCATAAGCATTCCTGCAGCATGGCTGGATATTCTAATTCAAGCTAGGTTGGACGAAGCCGAGTATATTTAAGCATGACTGACACAACTACCTTGGAGCAGAGATCGACTCGGGGAGTTTCAGTTGTCCCTCCTCCGGCTGGGCCAGGGAGGAGGAACTGCTCCCAGCCGTTTGGCTCGGCTCCCTCCGGACAGCCCGTCTGTTCATTGATTCAGCAAATCCTTCTGCACGAAGGCTTCCCAATTCGCTTCCAGCAAAGGTTAGTGGGGTTAGTTCAAACCACCAATTTAAGCTGTTTAAGCTCATCCTGCCAATTTTTCCCGCAGCAAATTAGAGGGTGCTGACACAAGCACGAACCGGGAGACCAGTAACGTGCTCAAAAAGGAATGGTTAGGGCATGGGTGGATGGCTAAAAGGACGTTTATCCATAGCTTAAAGCCTCGTCTGCTCTACAGGGCTCCCACCAGCATCGCTTCGTCGGTGAAGCACTGGTGTAGGTGCAGTGGAGGCGGCCGATCTCTGCCAGCGCTGCTGCATCACCTCTCCGTCCAACAGGCACCGCGGTGCTGGCAGAAGATCCCGGCGCACTGGGAATTTTGACAGCAGCAAGGTGGGCATCTTCCGCAGCGCCTCAGCTCTCACCAGCAAAGAGCCACGCCGCCGGCTCAAACAAGGATTTATTTTAAACAAAACACAGGGAGTGGTTTTCTAGAAGTTGAGGAAGGCTGGCGGCTTGAGAGATGGGGAGGAAACGCATGACACAAAGCCATGAACTCAGAAACGATGGACTTTTTTTGATGTCAACAAGGGACCGGCACTTCCCACGGCGCAAAAGCTTTCCTCGCTCGACGCGGCAGAAACCCGCCCGACTTTTACCAGCCCTTCCGGGGGGGGGCACCATCGTAACCATTCACTTTTTGGGCAACGTTATTATAAAAATAACTGGCCGTTCGCCATTTCAGGGTTCAAGCAGACGCGGGGCTGAGAACGGGGCGAGACGCTGCCAGCAGCCCGCTCCCACCTGGCCTTCGCGCCTCCCATCTCGCTGATGTTCTATGGAGAGGGGCACCGTCCTGCTGCCCCCCCCCCCCCCCCCATCGCTGATGCTGTTGGCAAGGGGAGCCTGACGTTGATCCAGGCATGGCG